ATAATAAGTATATATATATATATATATATATATATATATATATATATATATATATATATATATATATATATATATATATATATATATATACATATATATGTATATATATATATATATTTATTTATTTATTTATTTACTTATTTTGTGGAAATATCAAAAGCTTTGTGCTGGCTCATACTGACACCAACGTTTCTTCCATTTCAGTGTTTGATCCTAGCTATGGTACAAAAAAAACAATTAATCAAGAAGTAAGCAGAAATGTTAACAACGAAAGACTTCAGTTAGTAAATGTGTTAAAACAGCACCTTACTAAAAAAATTTAACATTTCAACAGCAACTGTCTATAAATGGAAGAGCGTGATATTTCAATTTCAAATGAAACGATTGGCGGTATGATGAGGAAATATTTGTTAAAGACAGGAAACAAAAAAAAAAAGACGATAACATGGAAAGGAAAAACCCGTGAATCCCAACTGGAAAATTCCACCATATCTTTTTGAAACAACAGTGATTATCATATCTTCAGTTCAATACCACATCGCTCTAGCAAACAGGCCATAACCGTATGCTTCAAACCCACTCGCTCGAGCTGATGATTGACCTTAACTTTAAGACTTCTGAGTCGGGTTGATGCATGCACTAAAACTAACAACAGTGGAAGTGAGAATGTAAAAAGTACGGTTACAACTGGAACTATAGCATAAACGAAAAAATAAAACGCCAGCAAAATAGCACCCAACGTGATAAATGTGTGTTCGTGACGTGCCTGAAAAAAAAAGACGATTTCTGACGTCAGCATTTATCGATAGAAATCGTAAGAAAGATCACCTCCCATAGACTTTGTAGGAAAATACATCTCAAAATTCAAAGCCACGTCATCCGAAATATTCTGCTTACAAATCAGAAAACTTCATCGAAAAGTGTAAGTAGAATCATATTAATATTAAACAAATATGTGCAACATTTAAGCCAGAAACAGTGATAAAAAAAGGACGTGGACGAGATCTCCTTACTACTACTAAATTGCAAATATTAGCTGTCCAACCACACTTTTGATCAGAAGAAACAGAACTAGCTTGCTTACTTGTACGAACGTGGGATTGGACGAAAACGAAAATGCGAGTACAGTGGCCACACATACGATAGCAACCAATCCAATAAAAACGTCATGTAACTGTACTGATGCACAAATCAATATGATAAGTGACATAAAAGCAAAATAATTTGTCTGATAGTATAATAAATTGCTCAACATACGATTATTCCACTTTGCCAAATCACGAAATGGTGGGATCTGCAATCAAATCACTATCATGGATTTTGCATGAGGTAAAAAAGTATTGCAAAGGTGAGAAAAGCTTCAACGACAAAAATGAATCCATTCAAATATGGCAAAAACAGGGAAATGTGATGAGATGGCAATGAAATGAGATGAGGGGATGCGGTAGAAAAGGATGAAGTGAACCCTCGAAACAGAACACTAGGCAATATTATTTCGGCGCAAAAATACTTGGATGTTATAAACTGCTATTACAGTTAGCGTATTGTGATCCTATTTGACTTGGCTTCGATCAAAAAGACTTGAGAAATAAACATGCTGGCAGCAAAACATACTGCACTGGTTAACTTCTGGAAAAAAGAGGGCGAAAACAACTTCGTGACCTTCATCAACTAAACGACATCATCGTTTCCAATGAATAAAATCAGAACTACCTCAAATCTCGATCTGTCAAAGAAGAATTCGCGAACATTACGGAGGGGTGGCACCTGCACAGCATTTATGAGTTTCCAATTTTCTTCTTTACCAACGGCTTCTTGCGTCATCGCTAAAATGAAATAACTTTTTTGCTGCACCTTTTAGAATGTGATTCGGACGGTTTCATCGAACAACAACTACAGTGGTACCACTAGTATCTATACCGCCACAGTCAGTAACCATCTTTCCCCCCTTCCCGTGGTAATGTTATAACGTAATATCTACTATGACTAGCCAGTGGATATAGTCACTTGTTGCTTCGCAACTCTGTTGAACCGGATAAAGACAAAAAGATGCATCTTTTAAATTCTAATTTGCGGTGTCCCTGTTTAAGTTATCCGTTGGGCACAAATTTATCGATTATGCAACAAACTTTTGTCAATTCAGTACAATTAGAAAACATTCGGGAAATGATTTCGACTGAAAAAAAATATTATTTTGTGTAAATTGCGGAAAAAACAGAAATCAAAATAGTTTCTGATCACTCCATTTTCGAAATGACATCTCAGCTCACCAATTCCGAAATTTCGACGAACAATGATCGAAGGAGTACTAATAATATATTGACAGCTGCGAGGACCATGATCCGGAGGTATTCTCTCTCAATAAACAGTCCTCTGAAAACTCTCCACACTATGTTCCAAATTATATTACCCACCACTTTAAGTGAAACTTCCCAGTAAATTTATCATGAGAATATGGTCGAATAATCGAACGTAGCAACCCATCTGGACGTCTCTATGTAGGCACTGTTAAACCCTAAGACCACCGTAAAATGTTTAAATAACTGTAGTATGAAATTCCAACCGGACTCATCCCGAAAAGGATGGCCTTGATAACAGAGTCATTCTGAAAACAGCTGTGCCTGTGCCTATATCTTATGTCAACACTTTGAAGATTGGCGTCTTGTTTCCACTTGAAATATATGCGTACTGCACATCTCATAAAAAAAAATGGAACAAATATTTGAATGCATCTTCCGCTGCAAAAACAACTCATCCTTACTATCTGTTCGTTTAAAACTTTTTCGATAAAGTAGTATAACAAAAGGTCTTTCGGGGAAAGCCATAAATAATATCAATTCACCAAATCTAATGGTTTCAGAGCAACTTTTTTTTTCCTATGACCTAGCTCGTCCATAATCACTTAAACCCTCTGTTTGCTCTGTTGCCTCTTTGCTCTGTTTGCTATCGATAATGTTATATATTTTCCTTCAAAAGGTCATGTCAGTCTCGGATCATAGCGCACTTTAAATAATATCGTTAAGACAAATATATTTACTTGGCCTTAGTCAGCACGAACTGTTAATATTTCAAGCACCAATTTTTGAATGAGTTCCATTTTTGGTTATTAAACGACTTCCCTAACACCTTCCGGGAAACTAGATTTAGCCCCTGGGGTTTATCTGGTGTATTCAATACCGGTGACTAGAGGTAACCTCAATTGTGCATACAATACGTGAACATTGGAAACACCGATCTATGGAGTAATGTTAGGAAATATAATTGTCCGGTTTCCTTGCAAACTCTTACCTCGCAGAATCCTGCAAAAAAAAAAAATCGTGGACAACTCGTTGCGGAAGAGGCCCATGCCAAGATATCAATTGAGTAGCCGGATAAGAGTTACGGCTTTTCCGTTCGATGGTGGCGAAAGGTTCTTCTCTGGGTTTGGTTCGAAATTTGAGTAGGTGCAGTAAACTTATCGAAATTTGGATAGATATAATAAAATTATTTTGTCCTACTTCACTTCATTTACTAGAAGAATTACTTTGCAGGTTGGTGCATTCGTTTAAGATTTATTTGGTCCTACGAGAAGCAACCGGAAAGTTATGGTTAGTATTCCCAATTTTATTCAGTCACACGCATAATTGCGGCAAGTCCTGTATTATGACTACTTAATGATAATGTTTTGATAGAACCTTTTTTTTGCGTTATTAATATAGCTCCTTGTTTCTGCCTTTGTCTATTTCAGGTGACAATTGTATCAAAACTTGATACAGCCCATCGCCTTACTATTGTGAGTTGAATGTTCACACGTTTTACTTTGTCATTATGTCTACGTAGAAGTGCTGAATGCACTATGACAACGGTCGTTAGGTTATTTAATGCTATTTTTTGTTGATAGCACTACATCACGACAATCTGTCTTACGCTGACCTGATGAATAAGAGAGCTATATGAATCTTATTGATCTCTGAATAGGATTTTTTGTCTAGTTGAGCACTATGCTTGAACATTTAAGGAACCACTTTCTGACCTTGTCGAGACGTAACCTGGTAGATTTTGCTAGGAATATCTGCGTGTATTTATTTTTTTCACTTTAATTTCTGATAACAGATCTAGTGGTAAGTGAAACAGTTTAGACCGAGCTGTTCAAAACGTATGGGTAAAGGGAGTTGCCATCAATAATCATCATATTTATTTGCACATTCATTTCTTCTGAGTTTCGTTGCTGTTCTCCTGAGGAATTTTGTTTTCAGCATGACGCTCAAATGAATTATTATGGTACTCGGCTTGCTACCTGTTCCAGTGATAATTTGATTAAAATATTTGAGGTTCATTATATTTTTTTAGACCGATTTTATGTGTGAGGTATGGAAAAGTATAAGTGTTTGATCCTGGAAGGGAACAGTTGAAAGTTGCTTGAGTATTTTGAAGCCAAGAAAATACGTGACGCTAACTGAGAAACCGAAGTGATTGGTTTTGCTCGAATCACGTTTAATTTTCTTTGTAGATCTTATCTGTTGAAGTGGTTTATTCCAGCTAAAACCGTCGGGACAGACGTATCCTTCTGCTGAATTAAATGGCCATACTGGTCCAGTCTGGCAAGTGTCGTGGGCACATCCGAAATTTGACAATGTTTTAGCTTCATGCTCGTATGACAGGTGAAAAGTCAAATCACGTCTTCCTATTGTAGGTTGCATTGTTAGTAGTTTAAATCAAGAAACAAATAGGAGTATGCACTTCGACAAGGCACATCGCACTGTTCTGAACATATTTACTTTTAGTCCTTCAGTTTCATTTTGTCACCTGTTTACGATTCACGAAATTCAGTGGTTATATGCTTATCCAGTAACATCTCTTGATAACCTTAATATTGCCGTCGTTCCGACGATTGAACCCACCACTATTTATTTATTGCATTATAGTGCCCTTTCTCTGAAATTATGTGAAATTACAGACGAGTTATCATTTGGAAAGAAATTTCTGGCAAATGGCAAAGAATTTACGAATGGAACCATCATGATGCAAGCGTTAATTCGATAAGTTGGGCACCTTACCAGTTTGGTCTTACGTTAGCTTGTGCATCTACTGACACCACGATATCCCTATTGAGCTTCAACAAAGCGAAAATTTGGACACATCAACTTATTGCTAAAGCTCATGAACAGGTGTTATAAATTCTCAAGTTTGGATCAAATGGGGTGAACCGGAACACATAGATCTTTTGCAGGAGGATAGTATACTTTACAACATCTAAAATTGTTGTATGCGTTTTTGAATTAGATGAAAAATGTTAGAGTTTCCTAGACTGTCCAGCTTATGTAACGGCTAACTAATTGATCATTTTCTATTTATGATATTGATAGAGGGTTGATTTGTTACACAGGTAGGTATGAAAACTAAATGGCAAATTTATTACATACAGAAGAAATTAGAACAGATCTACACAGTGTGAGAATTTAGAGACTGCATGGTCCATTTATAAGACGTGATTTAATGGTATTCGTTTATGAAAAGCTTTATGAAACACTTTGTCCTCGCTTCATCGTCTCCATGTAGTTCTGTGGGCTTACGGACAAATTTCATCTGTATTTAAGTTTCAGGGTTGTAATGCAGTATCCTGGGCTCCTGCCGTTTATTCAACTTCCCTTGTTCACAGTGATGCACCCGTCATACATAAACGAATGGCTTCTGGTGGCAATGATAATTTTGTTAAAATATGGAGGTTGGTAAGCTTTGGTTATCAAATCGCTACTGTTATCGTCGATTAAAGAATTCTCGAAGTACTTTTCTGTATTGCTATGCCGTATATTCTTTTTCAAAGAGCAATCCTGAAAACGAATATTTCCCAGTAGTTGTCTTTCAGGAAAAAATAGTTGTGAAGGGTAGCAAAGTAATTGTCAATATGGTTTATTTGCAGGGAAAGGAAGGATGGGATTTGGGAATTAGAAATCGCTTTAGAAGGACACACTGATTGGGTACGTGATGTCGCTTGGGCTCCAGTAGCTGCTCATAACGTTAATACAATTGCTTCGTGTGGACAGGTATTTTGCGTATCCATGTTCGTTTCGAAACTGTGCATTTTTATTTAGTCAATGTCTTTTTGATAAAATATCACCGTTTTGAAATATCCCATTTGTTAACTGTCATATCTGTAGGACAGAAAAGTAATCATTTGGCGTTGTTCAAGCGTTGATCAACATCACTGGTCTGCCCAAGAACTGGTTCTCTTTGATGATATTTTATGGCATGTTAGCTGGTCTCTCTGTGCTACCGTTCTTGCAGTATCTGGTGGTGACAATGAGGTTGGAAATCATTTGAAATTTAAATTTTTTAATGCGAAGTATTCCCAATTTTTCTTTATTTATAATCAGCAGAGTCTATTTATAATCTGCTGTTATTTAATAAAAAATGACCTCGTTTAAAGGAAAATGCGTTTCACATTTTGTTAAGCTGTAGTGTGTTTTTTAGAGTGTGCGCAAGTTTTTTTTTTCCTTTTTATACCTACAAAGGTGAATAGCGCATTCGTTAGAAAAGTTTTAAAAAAATGGAACTAATTCAATTTGTAGTAAAGCAATATTTTTAAGACCTCTACTATACTACGTAATAATGAGATTCTGTCAGATGTTCCATTTTCAGATTTCTTTATGGAAGGAAAATATCCAAAATGAATGGGTACGTATTTCTGAGCCAGAAGAAAAGTGACATGTTCATGTGCGTCTTCATGCATATTGTTGTTCATTTTTTGAATTGATTAAAAAATTATGTTTAGGTGAGAATGCTTATCGTCCAGAGTTAGAGTACTTTCCCATGTTTAGTATATGCTTTGCAGTAATTATCATTTATGCTGTTTTAAACTTCTCTAAGAATAAATATCTTTTTTCTCTAAAAAAAAGGAAAAAAAGTGTTTTCATCGATTACCGTCACCTTTCTAATGCGTCAATCTAATGTTTTACTTTTTTAATTGCTGCAGACAAAGAAATTTCTAGCTGGTGTAGTTTCCTACTTTTATTTGCATTTTATTATACTCGCCATTTGTTTTTAGATTATGCGTTTATTCTTTGTGGCTTCGTTGGATTTTACAGATAGCTTCAGTTAGTTGGATGGATGCATTAGTGACTTTGTTAATTTATATTAGTGGCTGCTGTAGTTCTGCATCGCAGTATCTCTGATTACTATATTCAATTACAAATATTCTCCAATAAGTCCTTATAATTGATTGATTGATTGGTTTCATGCTTCAGAGTGTAACCAACGCATATTCAGGGACAGTTTAATTCGTATGTTCAAATTCCGTTAAAATGTTCAGAAAGTTCGACGAGAAAGAAGACATAATCGGTACTCAGCAGTTGAAGTCGTCAGCTCAGGTTCAAATTGATATCTTTCAATTCATTTCATCGTCTAAGGAGTTTGTCAAGGTTTCGGGATTTCTAGAAACAATATTGTTGCGTATTTCACCTCAGTCAATTCTCTGAATGTTGTAGGTTATATATATGATGTAGCTGCAGTAATCAGTCTCGAATGTTATGGATTATCTAGTGCCGAAATTTAGAAGTCTTTTATGGAGTTACATCCATGGATGTGTTGCAATTTTCGTATTTGTTTTGGGTACTTTGTTTTATTTCAGAAATCAATACGATCGAAAATACTGGAGCAATTGCCTTTACTAGATGATTATATTAACGATATATTGCCTAAAAAGGACAGTTTTAAACTGATCAAATGCAAAGGTTTGTTTCGGTTCTGTCCAATGAATTTTGAGGTCGTGTTTAAGACGACTTTTTGAACCATATTTTTTGGTTGATCATTGTTGAGACATTCATTCATCGTCATGAAATATCTTTCGCCATCATAACTTATTCCGCTAATGTAATATAGATTTCCAGAACATGTCGAACTCATTGCTGATTGTGACGGGAAGATACTGTTTATCAAACCGAGAGATGTGCCGTATTTCCCTACTCTTCGCCTCCTTCATCAGTACCCTTTTATTTTGCCTCATGAAAAGGTTGACGATTTAAATACTTCTAAACTTTGGATAGCTTTATTCTGCTTATTCCAGCTATTGGCATGACTTTTTCTTTTTTTTCTTGTATATGCCGTGATTGATAGTATACTCAGTTAAGAAGCGACAGTGAAAGCTTTAATTCCGTGCGAGTATTCACATTTCTGATAAATAATTTATGTGAATTTATGCGCTTCCCTCCCTCATGACTTACCTTTACCAAAATCCTCTTTACGTCACTGGTTAGTGCGTCAAAGTTCGACTAGTTCGCTTTTAAAGATACTTAGTGTTGAGATGAACAATAGCACTTTCTGTGGAGATTTGTGACTCAGTGTTTTTATTATAAAGATTTGTAAGCCAGGAATCTTATTCGAAACATTAAAGTTCAAGTGGAAAGACACATCATTAAGCTCCTGAAAACATGGTGACATGAAAAGATTTCCCAATCTGTTTTAGGTCGATAAAGGTGCCATTAAGTTTGTCCTCAATGGATCTCAAATCATGTGTCGTGGTTTAACCAGTCCAGGTGCCAGGTTAAATGTAGATGTCCCCGAAAATAGTGTGCGTTTTCTTTTTTTTTTTGAATGCATTTCTTTTTACACTGATTTCTGTATGTCATATAAAATTCTATACACAGGACTTCTTTTTTCTATGATATCTCTGTACTTCGGTAGAGTAAACCTCTTATTTGTACGAGCGGTGTGAGCTTCGACATAATGCGGCAAACTTCTACATATTTATCAGTGTCCTGTCCTCCACTTCGTGTTCCGGACGTGTTATGTATTTTGCTAAGTTGTTTCTCGCTTTTGAAAAATATTTTAAATTTCAGGTCGTAGCTCTAATGGCGGAGGGAAAGAAGCACGCGTTGGCGATAGGTCTTACAAAAATGTCTGCAGAAGAAATACTAACAGTGAATAAGGTGAAATTTGATTTTTTATATTTATAATGAAAGAAAAAAGCAGGATCGCATGGTTAGTTTAACACTCCAATAAGTTAATGCTTTTCAGGGTATTGGCATTGAAAACCTACACCATTTGAACGATGGCCTCTGGAAAGTTCATACAGTTTTATGACAACTAGCACAATGGAAGTAATGCATATGACAATCCAATGTTCTGTAGTTGACTGTAATGAGTTTGGTCGAATACATGTTGAACGGTCTTATACTATGGTGATATTTTATTTACCGTGATTTTGAAAACCTTTGTTTGCAGTTTTATAGGTTGGCTTATACGTGAGTCCCACTTAATATTTACTACTTTATAACTGAATTAAATTGACAAGGTTGCATAAAGTTCCATTGTTTATCTCATTTTTTCTGCGTTTTAGTAGTTATATCACGCTTCTGTAAAACTGATAGCGCAGTACAGCTTACATATGGATCAACTTAATGAGACATCCAGAATAAAGTTTTAAGTTTGTTAGTCAAGCACAACAGCAGAAACTATAAACAAGTCAGGAAGAACTATAAACACAAGCAAGGAACTATAGATGACATTAAAAAGAATGGGGGCGTTATATGCCGAAAGCTGTGGCTAAGAAAGTCGTCCATGAAACCGATGTATAACATCCTCGATATGACTTTTAAAGAACGTTATGTGGTTGACGGTACAACTTTTTCACATGAAAACGGTCAGCTACGAACCATAAAGAAGTAGGAAATTGAACAGAAATTTCATTCCAATCTATGCCAAAATCAACGATTTGAGTGAGGACTCGGCTATACAAACATATTAGTCACACTTCATATCAAGGAACTTACAACTACGAGAAAACTGCTTCAGTTCGCAATATTTTGGAATGCACAACATAGGAAATCGCCCAACGAAAATTGATCAGAAGACATTTCATCGCCTTTGTCCACCTTTCTTCGGCGTTGAATTGCATTTTAACAGAATACTCCATTTTGTTGTCCTCAATATGTTCTCTGTACATTCGATGAGGGAAGCGAAACTAAAACTAGTTCAACTTAATCCATATCACGTTTAAATAATTTTTATCGGTAAGTCTAGAACAATGATGTAATGTGAGGAATTTTGGTTTCACTGCATTCCACACGTTCTAGTGTACATTTCTTCCTAAGTTCACGAAGACGGATAGGGTACACAGTTGGAGCAGTTGATAAGGACAGAATAAATAAGTGGGTAGATTCGCCGTAGTTTACTTATTATCATTACTCCACATTCGTTCATGGTGATTTCTTCGCTAAAGGTTCACTAATGTCCTCTAACGTATAATATAGTCACAGAGTGTATGAGATGCTTTGTGCATCATTGTAAACGGTATGCAGGTGTTATACCGCATAGTGTTGACGATATTATACCCGTATACTGTTAACGATTACAAAAATTGCTAAAATGAATTGTCTCACATCCAAAATGGTAGTTTGGAGGAATATTTCTAAAAGTAGTATAAAACAAAAACATCGAATGATGAATTAACACAAAGTGTAACATTTCTACCTGCGCACGTTCAATATGTCTCTGCAATTGACAGAAACATTCCATAAAAGCACAAATGCCTTCATCGAATTTTTTTTGTCCAAATGGCTTAAAACCGCCACTGCCAAAAAGCGGCAATTCAACCCCGGTATCCAAACACTGGATAAATGAATGACTGCCAACTGGCACAATACGATATAAGCTGAACTGAACTTCAAGACAATCTGCTAAAGTCTGAAACATCGTTTCTTAAGTCTTTTAAACACAGGAAAAAATAACCAGCAGTAAACTGACCATGCTGTAAATAGTGTTAAACAGCTAACAGCTCAAGCTTACGTTGATCAGCAAAGCCACTTGTCCCCATGCAGCATTGATTTCGCTCCATTCAACCTGAGAATGTGGCAGCTGACCAAGACGAAAACCATTAATTGTACCAAAACTCCCTTGCTTCCAGATATGAAATGCTGTATTTAACACGTTGATTTTCGACAGTCTGTCACGCTGACTTTTCAAACAATGCACCTCAGCTTCCAGATCCTGCTCTTTCATTTCCATTCTGATTAACTGCCTTAAATATTCATGTCGCAAAAAAAGAAATAGTATCTCATCACTTCTGAAAGAATCAACTGAAATATGGATTACAGATACAACGTAATACCCACACCTTGAATATACCCAAATAGATGTTACGGCCAATCATATGATGATGCTGTCTTACACGACTTTTTCTTTCTTAATGGTGCCTTATTTGTTTACCAGACATTAAAAAAGGAACTTTTGATTGTCTCGAATGTTTATCACAGCTTTCTGAAACGCGGAAGGAAACCTAACACTCCATACTTCACCATCATTTTTTAAACAGCGGTTAATACTGTTGAAGGAGAAACATGAAACAATGTATACGAAAAAATTAGAGGTTGCGAAAATAACTTTGACAAGATGAAATAACCTATTATCCTCCTCCTTCCTTTCTATCTATTCTTCTGGCACGCATGCGAATGACTTTCTAACAAATTATACAAAGATAAATGAAAACCTGTGGTTGTCACGAAATACTCTCCATAACAATTCTGCCGATTCATTCTCTGCATATAATTCACTTTTCTTCTTTTTTAATTCCGCGTCCAATTTTGCCTCTTCAGCTTCCAATTTCTTTGATTCTACCAACAAAGAAGCTTCTTCATTCTATAGAAAAAACGATGTAAAATAATCACATGATGTCGAACGCTATTTTGAATTCCTCTTTATCCGTTTAAAGGAAAGACCAGCCTGAAGTACGATAGGATACGCTTACAGTGCTATAGTTCTACAGGCATATTAAGACTGATACAATTACAACTGGATGATTCTGCCAAAATGAATAATAGACTTGTGTTACCTTCATAGCTGTAAGCTTTGCTGCTACGATATTTCTGTCCATTAAGCGAGCATCCCTCCCTTCTTTCAACGAATCAAGCAGTTCACGGTACTGTGCACATTCTTCATCTAGTTCTTTTAAATGTTGATCCATCCCCGAAAGCAGCTGCCCTGTACAATCCTGAATTTCGTTTAGTAATGAGATAAGACACGACTAGCCAGGAAGGAACACTATAAAATACAACCCGGACAACTGGTATGACAAATCCACCTCACACATCGGTCCCTTTAGAGCTGAATTTGAACTGCATATTATATCAAACAGATTCCCTGTCGCTGCTGAAGAACCTTCTTGGAAGCAAAATGATGGATCTTCCTGGAAAAAAATATAGCATGCGTTACTCACACCAAGAAATTTGCATTTCCAGGATAGTGAAACTTCGACAAAACAAAATATGATGGTGGAAAAAACTATAATCCGACTGAAACAAACTAGATAAACTGATACCTCAATTAAAAACGAATTTTGTTGGTCTCCAAAGCACTCGAAAACGCTCTCATCCAAAACCAACTTATTCTGACAATTGAAGCATGTTGGGACGTTGTCATCCATTTCGCAGCAATGAATCTGTTTTTGGTGAATTGTGCAGTCTGCAAAAGCAAGTACTGCTTGTTCTCTTAAGTTATAACACAAAACGATTAACAAAACGCATTCCATTACCACTTCATACTAACTTAGTAGCAAAGGAATCTAAAGATCACTTACGTTTCCGATCTCAAATTTATTTGTTCTTAGTTCTATGTGATTCATTTTTCTCAGGATACCATCGCGCATGCCATTCAATATTACTGAAAGGTCTTAGCTACCTGGACCTCTTTAACAATGTTCTACGTGAAGAAAAGAGAGCAGAAGTGCATTTTATCGAGTAAGTACGACTGCAAAATAACGGTCCGGTGTATGCACTCCAATATCTATAAATCCTGAGGACATATTTCTCCACAATGCCACAACCCTCTGTCCTTCTTCACCTCAAGTTTTCAGTGCCTACTTTTAAGACTGTTGTTGGATTAAGATCGTATGTCCCTCCAATTGAGTGTTTACTGAATCGGCAATATTTCGAAAATCTCAAACTTGCGAATTCCTTGAGCCACCATATTTGCAGCATGCCAAGGAAGAACAACTATCGAGCTGTAAAAGTGAGTGGGCTCTCAAAGGGCTGTGATAGTAATACCATGTACGTCGGTGGACACGTTCACTGTCGGGATGTATTTGCACAACGGGGTAGTCGGGTGCTTGGTGTTGGTCAGTACTCGGGTGGTGTGCGTTGTCTAGTAAATGGGTCTGGGGGCAGATTCATTGCTTGGTAAGTGGAGCTTATTGGGTGAGTAAAGGAAACCAACACATCCTTTTTTGTGGTATTTGCTTGGTAACATCTTCAAAACAAATGTTAAAAGTTATGTCATGAGATAAATATGTTCTAACGGTGCAGCCACTGGAAGTATGAGGTCTTCGGAAGAAGTTTCTCGGAATAGGTGTTGGTATCAGCGTGTTCACAACCATTTTACTTCGTAAAAATTCAAGGAAAAGTTTGAAGATGTACCGTGATAAACGACCGACATTTATAGTCACAGCAATATTTTCCACACGGTATGTTTGCTTAGTAATGTACGCGTGAAATGTGTCCTAATAATTACGATTACTTTGGCTGTATATGTCTTGCGTTTTTAGCACCGAAACGGTGGGGTGTGTGACCGCCAAGAATTTTCGGGATGTCTTGGTTGTGGGATTGGGTATCCGGCATGCTTAATTATCTCGGTAAGCACGTCCATATATTATTTTCTGACGGTGTATATCTAATCCATAACTCTTCAACAGATTTGAAATGAATTATGCATAAAAAGGCATCAAGGGAAATCCTCGAAGCTTACTGAGTATTTCTCTTTTAGTATTTGTACAACAATAAAATACGTGATTTGCTTATACGTTTAAAACTAGACAACATGCGACAATTTCCAAGTCGTGTCATCTACCCATGTTTTGAATTTAATGCTTCATTTGACATGTTTTTACAGGTTTGACAAAGAAAAATGGTAAATTAGTTTTCTTGGGACTGGATAACGCTGGTAAAACGACACTTCTTCATATGTTGAAAGATGATCGTATGGCCCAGCATGTTCCTACACTTCATCCTAGTAAGCTCTTTCGTGTGATGATATTAGAATTACCCTTTTATGCTTCGAAAGTGTTATGGTATTGATAATGTGTCATTCTTTTACACACACATAACTTTCTTCACTGTATATGATCATCTTGACGAAAATTTGGGAAATATTACACTTTATGCTTCGTGAAAATAAAATTCTGAGAAAGGAGGAGCTGATCTGTACTTTTTTACAAATGACAGAAAAAGAAGGGGGAGAAGAAAAAATGATTCTCTATGTTTACAGAACATTTATGCACCATTCGCTTGAAAATTTTAAGATCATAGACGTTGTGCATACCTGGCTTTTTACTGATTCCGTTCCGTTGACACTGCTTTCAATTTATAGTATATTAAATGAGGTGATTCCAGCTTCTGAAGAACTCTCACTGGGTGGTATTCGCTTCACAACATTTGATCTTGGTGGGCATGAACAAGGTTAGTTTGGTAATTTATTTGTATAATCTAAACATTGACGAGATTTTTATTATGCTGATGACGTAGGTCTTATGATATAAGGTAGTGAATGCATTTTATAACCTCACTGGTTGAGTTTTAAGCGCATTATGTTAAACTGCAATTTTTCGTCATAAATCGCAATTATTACGCAAACAGCAATGAAATTATCTCGTCTCTATGAGATCAATGGCGTTTATTCCATAGAATTGAAATAATGAAACACTTTCAGCACGCCGTGTTTGGAAGGATTATTTTCCAGCTGTAGACGCTATTGTATTTTTGGTGGATTGTGCTGATGTTGAACGGATTGCGGAAAGTAGGCGTGAGGTGCTGTTTACTGAATTCGTTTCTTTAGCCACTGGAAAACGCAGAAAAGAAAAATTGTGTAATTCGATTGTTATTTAGGTACAACAACCACTTAATATTTTAAATCGGATATAGTGCTTTAACTTCTCTGTGTTTTCAGCTCGAAAGCTTGTTGGGCGATGAGCAAGTGGCTTCTTGTCCACTTCTGATTCTCGGGAATAAGATTGATAAACCAAATGCATTAGGAGAAGATCAGCTAAAATGGCATTTGGGGGTATCAAATTTGACCACTGGAAAGGTTCGTTTGTACAGATTTTTTGGTTTTTATTTCTAACAGAGGAGGTTGCAGTTCATTTTAAGTAGACAGTTCATTTTCATCTTAGTTCAGTTCATTTTAAGTAGACCTGCGAAATTGATTATCTATTAAGTCATCTGGATTCAGTAGCTATGCATAAATTCCTTTTAGTAGCTATGCATAAATTCCTTTTTTTGGTCCCTCACTGGTCATTATAATTTTTTGTGATTTGAGACACTTAGAAAACAATTCGTGGTTTAAAATTACTTTAATACGGAGCCAATTTTCCTGAACATATTCCACATTATGTCTGAACTAATATTTCCAAATTTCACTGAGTTTTCAAATATTATTATTTAGGGACAAATTTCGAGAATGGATATATCGTCGAGACCAATGGAAGTTTTTATGTGCTCAGTTTTAAGGCGTCAAGGATATGGGGAAGGTTTCAGATGGTTATCGCAATATTTAGATTAGATATTGCTCGATATGCTTCCCTAAATGATTTATCTGGAAAGGTGTTCACTTATTGTACTTTTCCAAATTTTTATATAATTTCTTTCCATCTTAAGATTATAATTTAATATCTGGTCGTTCTTGTCCTTGCGGATGTTTTTTTTATAGTTTTGTAACTAATGTTCATTAAATGGACGTTAACAGCGGTTAATAACTACAAACTTTTTTGAAGAAGTACCATGCAAGAAAGAGTTGCATACAGAGCGGCTTTAAAAATAATATTCGTATGTGTGGTACAATATCAATTTTAGTTATTTGGGTTGTTATATAAATTGGTTGAACTTATTTGAATGCTTTAAATTGGTGACATAATACATGAACATACACTTCATTCGGTGTGAGATTTTGCTAAATCATGAATGATCGAATTCAAAAAAAGAGAAACGATTTCACGTAGATAAGACTTATTTGCTAAGCTGACTGAAGACAAAGAATATCGAATGGGAAGGGATGTACACATTTCTACTGCTCTGTTAGTGTCAAGATTTGAGGTAGGAAAACGAAATTCATTAATTCAGCACATTCCGATATCGATGACTCTGGTTTCTGATGAATAATGCGATCCGAATAAAACATCAGAGTTGCATGTCCACAGTGATCATCAAGTTCAACTGTTGAAATGACCGTTGTTTAGTCAAGGTTATTTTAGGCAATAAACGGTATTCCTCTGGCTATAATCTTATCATTTACTGAGTAAGTGGTATATGAATCTGCCGGAAGGCTTTTGTGTTCGGTAGTTTGGATTATGTACTTTGAACCAGATGAGGTGCAGTAACAACTGGGCTCGATCTGTTTCCGATTTAATTTAGTGTGTTATTCTGGCTGATGACCAGCGTTTCACCCCCGGAATCAAAGTGAGATTATTTAGGCATGATTTCGTGAAGGATTCAGGTCGAAATTGCAGTTGGAGGAAGATTTACTTTTTTTTCCATATAGCTGGAATGTAAAATGGTTGTGGGGCATGAAGCAGACGGAGAAGCAGCTAATGTTATGCAATGCAGATTGGAGGTGTGTCCGAAACAACTGTTCTCAAACTGTTTAACATCACCGACATCATCCAGTTCCCTGTCTAAACATCTCCTGATGGAATACGACGATATCGTATGGATTAAGGAAAAAGTCCCAAACGATGCTGGGCTTGTATCTCAACTTCCTACCTCCATAACTGCCTCTGTTGACAGTTCCTCACCGCAGGTGTACACATTTTTCTAATAATTTGTGTAGTGAGTGAGACTTTGGTCAGTTCTTTTTCCTAAACTTCAATTTGTATGACAAGCAGGAAGGATCGAGTTTTCCAACACTCTAAATAATGGATGATAGGAAAAGCCTACCTGTAAAAAATAATTTTCTTACATCGATCATCACATTAATCAATCGTTATAGCAATCTGAATTCATGACTGTGGATATCAGCGCAAGGTATCGAAGCAGGTAGTTACAAAGCCGCTTCTTGAAATCTTGATCGGTTGGCAAATATATGACAGGACCTCGTTTTTTAATGCATTTTTAATTTGTTCTGTTGAATTGTCACTAATGATCACTTATATAGTCATATCCTCAATCCTGATATCATTTCATATCTACAGTTGCGTTCAGTTGACTATCTTCTTCGAAGTTTCAGGATAAAGTTACGGTCGGTAACGATGTATCATCCCATATCACTGTTCAGTTCTTTAATGGAAATAACAAGAAGGTACCCGCTGAATTCCTTAAGGAAAATGAGGAGGATGGAAATTCTATTTCCATTGAAGACTTTGATATCACGGAATATGAGAAAAAACTGTATGATAATGCGAAACAAACAATAAATCTAATTGGTGATCTGTGCAACCGTTCTGAACAAATCACTGAACAGCAAAAGGAGACGCTTCTTAGGTTGCTGCTTCCTTTTAGTTATAAGAGAAATACTGTTGAGTTAGCATTTTTTTTTTCGGATTACACAAAAAATTACATTTTATTCAGCCTACGTTTACCCATTTTCAAATTTTTCATTTTGTGGAATCTATTTATATCGTAGATCATTTTCACAAAAAATTAAACTACAAAAAATTTCTAGTTATAAAATTATGTTTTTGAGTTAAATTCTCTCAGTTTCGGTTTGTATTGCCAGATGTTTTTCGTCCATCGTGTGCTTTACTTTTCTCAGATTGGAAGAGAAACAGCAGGAATGCCAAAAGATCACTGAAAAAATGGAGGAAGTTGCAAGACAAAATGAACAACTTACTATTGCGAAACAAGAGGTTTGCATTTATGTGCAGACATGATTTCCGAGCAATAATAAAGCTATTCAGTAATCCGCTGACTTGATCTGTACTTTTCCTTTGTTGATGGTCGTTCAATCGAACACCCTGTTCGTCATTGTTGGTGCAAAAAAAACCTACTAAAATCTTTGTCACAGCTTATTGAAAAGTGAATTCAACGAAGATGTTTTCAAATTCTATCATTCCTTATCCAGCTGAACTGGCACCGCTAAAAATGATTAGCAGTTAAATTTAATGCATAGCTGCAGAAAGTTGGTTTACATCAGAATTTATATCTCAAAGTATTGCTTAGGGATTGTTTATCAGATTTGGAAACTAATCTTGAAATTTTTATGGTTTTGGTTTGATTTCAAAACATACACTACTACTGACCTTCAGTGTTATTAACTATTGAAGCTCGAACAACGCCTGGTTGAACATAGTGCAGATCAAGAAGAAAGTGGAATAAGCCAGAGCAGTAAGACGGAAGGAAACCTATCCCAGTAGGTTCTGCTTTATTTTTAAATCGGTTTTAGCACATAGAAACCCAGGGTGTCAATATATCTCCTTCAGATGATTTCCGGAGAGAAAACGATGAGACATTACTCTAATTTTAAGTCCCTATCATAATTTTGGACTAGGTCATTATTTAGGCAATTTTCTTTATTCAGTGTTTTAAAGGACGGAATGGCAAAGAGTGGATAGTTCACATATTAGTAACAGCGATTTATTACAACCAAACAGTGTTACGTTTCTCCAGAGCACCGATAAAATCGTTGTCACGGATCAAGACAACGGTTTACTGCTTTTCTCTGTAGAATTTGGGCTCATCAAGAAAGTTTCAAGTTCAGAGTGGAAATGGCCGCAGTCTGCTGTATACACTCCAGATAATAAAATTTTGGTAAATTCCTTCAAAATAGGATAGAATTAATCGTAAAAAACAATGTCGAGAAACTATACTGTGCTCCAGTTGCTGTTCTAATTTCTACGACAGTAGTATTGATTCATCAAATGAATGGTCGATCCTGTTTGCTGCTGGAAGAATGTTACTACTTTTCAGTCTATTTCATGCTTCAGTTATTTGCATCTTAATTTGAATTAAATGAAATTTAGTTAGTTGTAATAATCATTTGTTAGTCGTGGCAATTTCGATATCAGTGGTACAGTATGGTAACTAACATACCCGTGTTATGATTTCTGAAGCTAGTTTCATAGATTACAGTTTGTGATAAATTCTAGGAAGTTTCAAAGACGAATGACAAAACATAATTGAAACAGTTGTAGGTTTCCGCAATGGTAAGAGATGGAAGTGGAAACAAAACAGTATGGAAACGTAACTTGATCAAATTTAACGAAAACCTGGAATTCGTTTCGAGGATTGAAGGGCCAAAATGGATAGAGAATGAGACGGTTACTAGGGAGCATTTGTGCATTGCATTAAATGGTTACATATATTTATGCGTTACTGGAGATACGTTTTCGGCTTTGTATGAACTTGCAACTGATGGTCAGTGGACTGAACTTTGCCATAAACGGAGTGCAAGGTTTTCTAACATACAGGTGAGTGCTTTGCACTTCAATTTCCTTACTCATTTGTATATTATCGAAACTTTGTAAATTTTTGAATTCATCTGATTACCTCAATGCTTACTTTTCTTAGTTGCCACTGAAACCTGAAATTTGTCCTTTTGCAGCATTCATATGTAACAAGGAAAAACAGTTACAGGTGTTGGCTGTGATTGATGTGATAACAGAAGTTTTGGTTGTAGAACAAAAACGCGGTTACATTTGGCTGCTTAGTATTCGGGAATCCACTATATGCGACCGAAATATGATTGCTGCCGTGGAAAAGCCTGGAGCACTGTGCATCGATGACGAGAAGCAACTGTTTATCCATGATATTGGACAGTCGAAAATCCGCCTTTTAGAACCACGCACTTTCGAGGCAATCCAGGATGTAGCTCTTACTTCCAAGAATTTAACCGCTATCAGTGCTTACCAAGGACTACTTGTCGCTGTTTACTGCGCTGACAAAATTATACACCTTCATAGGTACTCATTAACTCATAAAAAAAGTTTCAAGTGAGTTTTGCTGTTTTGCATATTTTATGAATTCAAGATGTTACCTAGCACTTTAATTCGTATTAGAAACAGTGACTGCTTGCCTACCTATCAACTTTCATGCTAGTAAGCCACCAAAACTTAGTCGATCTTAGGGATAAACAAAGACGTGCCCCACTGTATATTTCACAAATCAAACGGTCCGGAAATTTTGATATTTTTCTCTAAGTCAGTACCGCTCACTCATTAATCGTACTGTGCCACTTTCCTAAACCTATTCAGGAATTGGATCGCTATATCCCAATGACCTACAAGAAATTTAACAATTTATCGCAATAAAGTTGCAAAATTGACAAATTGACTTTTTCTGTACAATAGACAGATAACTGAAAATTTATGAGAATAAAAGCTGAAAGGTTTTTGGTCCTGTAACATGAATTAACCGATTAATGAGCCATATATTACAGACATAAATTCCAACTCAATATCAGTTCGTTTCTGTTGTACGGAAAGGGTAAGAGTATATATACAGCAAGAGTTGGAAAATTTTGCTGATCTATTCCATCATTTTCCTTTCCCGACGATAGTATCCTGTTTTCTCCTAAAATTCTATTCTATCCTTTTAACAGATACTTATCAGATGACTCATCGAATGTATTACATTGTTCACGAACGATATAAATGTAGTCCTAAGACGCATCTCCAAAAAGATTGTGGAACAGACGGCATTTTCACAGTTCTGACTTTTCCGCTCATAAACTCTTATTAATAATTACATCTATTAGATAAAGAGCAATTTGCAGCATAAATTCATTCCCATATGTTACTATAATAAAATCGAGAAGTGTAACTCCCTTAACTATCCGAAAAGAAACACGACTGCTTGGTAAAGGTAAAGTCCAATAAAGAATAAAACGGTGGAGTAATGGAAGTCTTAGTTTTCGAGACAGAAACTATAGGATACGGTTAACGACATCAAACCTCTATTTCCGAAAAATAAGGATTGGACCGGCAAGATGAGTTAGATGCATCGAAGTCAACACCTTAAATGGTGTAGATATGATGATAAAAGAGACATAAAAAGATATCACTGTGAAATAAAAATAAATACCCTAGATTTATAAATAAATGTGATAAAATAGTAAATTAAATTTTAAAGAAATTTAGCACAAATACGAGTTGTGAAATTAATGCTGGCATTCGAGAAAGGACAAAAACAAGTTCTAACGAAATTCACAAAAATGTAAAAGAAAAATAAGCAAGAACGAACGAAATAATACCCGGCGTATGATAAGTTTTGAAAGGCATAGATAAGAGAGCACAAAATTCCATGTAATTGAAAAATTCAAAAACAATATTCCGCACGAGTTTGAATAAAGTTGCACACGAAAAAACAACATAATGAACTGATGTGAGGGAGAAATACAACACTCTTTGCAGCTATGTAAATTCTTATAAATTACTAATTTATGGACTGTTTTTTTCCGAAAAAGAAATTTGATGAGTCACCCTATCATCACTTGGAAGCTAAAAGGAGTAAAATGCAATCCGTGGTCAAACTGAAACCATTCTTCATAAAACGGAAGTTAACAGCTATTACAACAGTGAAAACGCAGAGTTTCAAGAAATATTTTGCTTAAGTAAGCAATATATGAGAAGGTCATAAAGAATTGATATGCAGCGATTGAAGGAAAGAAAAAGCAATCATTAACCGAAACTTTTGGCAGAAAAAAACATGTACATCTTTTTCATATATACCACTTAAGCTTACTTGAACATCCGGGCAAGATTATTCAGTTGGTTGCCAACATTCATGTAGAATTCTCCCTGACTTTCCAAATATGCCGCCATCATGTTCTTGAAATCCTCGCCAAGTTCATGATTTTGAAATGCTATTTCTGCTAGCATCATGTAACTAATAGAATCAACCTTCTCTTTCACTTTTTCCATATCTGCACTTGAAACACGTCCTTCTGTCGCAAGCTTTTCATTTTCACGCAGTTTGGATATTGCTGACTGCATAAATCATTATGAAGAAATAGGGCAATGATGTCATCGTTAGGACTCTTTTTGCAGGACAAGGAGTGGGACTGAATGCTATGGGAAGAGGTAAGCAGTGGAGGATCAACAAGAATTTCAGGTGATATGTTCTTCAATACAAATAGAATTGAATTCTTTTATAAAATGAATGCCAAAAACGTAATTAGCCCTGTCTGTTCATGAATCAGTTTAAGAACTGGCACTCTGCACTATTTGAGAATCAGATTTATAAAGTGTGATAACGTACCGTCGCGTCTTGTCTTAGTCTTCAGAATCTTTGAATATTTAATGGACTTCGCTTTCACTCACCCTATGAACGTTGACGATATCTGGTATGCAGGCGAGCATTCCTTTGTAGGAATACAATACATCCAATAGGGGATCTAACGATTTCTTAGCTAATTTCTCATGCTCATCACCGATCCAGTGTAGCGCTTTTGCTGTTTCTTTCAGAGCACTTGTAACTTTCTCATTTTCTGAAAAAATTCTATTGAACAAAAGTTTCGTTTCAGCAACATCTAAAACTTTTCGTCAAAATAATTATAACGGCTACTGTGCTTCACTTATTTCTGATGTAATACTTGGAGTATATCACAATGACAAAACGAGCATATCTAGAGTCCACAAATGCAAATGGAATCAAACTGAAGAGTTATATTGGTCACAAAAAAATTACAACTGTAAAGTTTTAAAAGAATATTGAGAAAACTTGCTCAATCAACTGAAGACATAAGTCCTTAAATCGTGCAAAAGTTGTTCAGTATGAAAATAAGAGCTAACTTGATGATGGGTTGACATCGAATGATCGACATAGACCGGTACAAGCTTCTCCCATTTTTTGCCAATTTGTTTTGTATGCTGTAAAAGTGTTATTACAAATATGAAGTCAAATTTTATGCATTGCACTTGCAAATTTTACATACAAACAAAAAAAAAAAAAAATGACGAGGTCATCATAAGATGTTAATTTCTATAACTCTAGGTGTCAATTACTGTACGAAACTTACGTCCTGCAAGCCTTTTGTGGGTCTCGCTGACTCGATTATACATGAAGTTAACACTCTCTTCAAAACTTCGCATGGAACGAGTAAAATTATCCACTTTCTGTTCGCTTAAATCAGAATAGAAATGAACTATAAACTGAGAAACAATATAAACTGACATCACCGGCGACAGCATATATTTTGCAGTAAATGATAATGGAAATGGAATGATATTCGGATTCCTTCAAAATTTCCATTAACTAGGCGCACCATATAATCAGTAGAGCTTTCAAAAGCAGCAAATTTCCGCCAGTTGATTGTTAGACCATTCTGATATGAAGAGCTTTAAGAGATGACCTGAAACTCGACCATGTTTCTACGATCAATAAATTTGAAAAACATACACATCATTGCTATCGAGTGGCTGACTTGGAACCTTGATAGAATAAAGAAAATTCCCTCCAACGTATTCATCTTTTTCTGCTTTCCTTTTACCATTTTTCCATTTCTTTTCATCCGTACACGTTACGAAATGTATCCACACGTCTGATTTATTGAGAACAGGATGCCTGCATACTTTATTGACCCAAATTTGTAGAATGTTCTTCCGGTGCTCAATAAAATCTTCTTCATAACGACCTGAACAAAAATTTATTTTCCCCCCAACAACCGTTCTCTTCAAATATGCATAATATACTGCAAAATCGACTAGCATTCATTTCGTATAAATGTACCAGCGACTTGTTTTTCCGGCAGTGGTGGAAGTGCTATTAGAATGTACTTCGCTGACATCCGCTCATGAAGCCAATCGAAATGTTTGTATCGTCGTGATACCTAGAGTTACAATCCATATTGATTATATCACAATTTTTTTCGCGGAAGTTGCTATTACTGTCGTTGACTATTGAATGCGTGATAATACGGTATGGAGGTTACGCCTTATTTCGCATTTCAGCCCACTATAGTGAGTACATTAGAAAGTTTAGCATTAACAACGATAAAGCACCTTGTGTTGGGAAGTTGTTAAATGATTCAAAAAGATGGAATCCATTTAAACCAAAAAAAAGTGGAGAGATCAAATTAAAAAAAGCTGACCTGTATGCCGCTGAGAGAGGATTTCACGCTATATGCAATGAAACTTTTCAGACCTTTCAGTTTAGATTCTTTCTTCGGTTTATCGACGATGCAATAATAAGGCTGAGTAACTGGAATCCATTCCGCTCCGTCCGCTGTCAGCTTAAAATTGAGCATGACATAATATCATCAGCAAATTTCCATACTGTACTAAGTTGTAGGGATATTATCTGGACCAATGGTTCAATCAATCCTTAGCAAATATGATATTAAACGTACAATTATTTCATGGTACTCCTCCGTTTTTGATGTGAGTCTTGAATTAAGTAGGATGTAATCTTCCATACCTGATTTGACGAAATTGGAGAATCTATAAACAATCAACAGATGTTATCTTTAAACACAACATTTCATTGTTAATAAAGCTTCCTATGTCATATGTTTAATTTCCGATCAGGAAACGTGATAATGAAGAACATGTGGAAACATGACATACCGATTTATATTTTTCATTCTAACTGTTCCTTGCTTGATCAGTGCATCACTCTTGGCAGCTCGATTACTGTATATATAACTATGCATTTCGGGATTATCTGCTGTATTTAACACACTTTCCTAAATGTAGAAAGAAAAATCGCTGAATAATGATCTACTTCCATTTTTCACTCACCATTACTTATCTTCGAAAATAAAAACACTGGAAATCTGAACACTTATAAAACCCCTACAAGGAAAACTATAGGGAAAAATAAGAACTTTGGTTTGTAAATTAAAAGTATAATTTTGTTTCACTGCACAAGAAAAACATGCAGGATTTCATTTTACAAGGAAATATTTTGGCTGTAGCTCATAATTCCAAATTCTTGAGCACAGCTCGGAAATCTTGAACTGCGAAGCTGAAATGGATATTATAAGTATCAAGCAAAATGTGTTTCCAATAGCATCATTTTGCCAACCTCACCGAAGTTTGCAAGTATAAAAATGGTTAATGATTGCTACAGAGGTCAAGAAATATACGGATATTATTATAAATGAGAAGTAAATCTATTTGTATGAAAGTTTAATGACACGAATTCCAATAAAAGTGAATGAGATATAGCTTTGCGAAATACGATAGCAGCAACGGTTCGTAAAGTATAAGAATGAAACGTAAGTCAAATATGCATAAAGGAGTGTATCAGGAGATTTCATCTTCTGTCCAAAACTGCGAAAATATGCAACTGCTTGATAAAACAGGATTAAAAGCATAACGTACCGACAATTCTTCGTCATCATCAGTCCAATCATCAAAATCGTCATCATCATGCAAGGCCGGTACCGGAGGTGTTGTTACATCATGCAACTGCTGAAAATAATTATCGTATTCAGTTCATCAGACTTTACGTTATAGACATCAAAAAACAAACTAATAATTAATTAAACAGAATGATCAATAACTTCCAATATCATGGAGTGGTTTAACTTGTTAGAACAGTAGGTTTAAGGCATGACCTCCTGCCATGCATAGTCAAGATGCAAACTAGTTGAACTGGACAGTTCATAATTCTGACAATTGAAAAACATGGGAGCATACAAATTTTGGGTCGCAAGATCCAACGTCAACAAAACAGCTATATAAAAGATAAAGAAACCTGTTCATTTGACGGGACGATCAACTGTGGATAATGAGCTGATGTTGGAGGTGCATCCCAACTATCTTCGACAGCAAAGGCTGGAGGATTGCGATGTTGTATAGCAACTGCCTTAAAATACATCAGAAGCAAAAAGGTCAAAAAATACCACATGCATAGAGAGGAAAAACTTATTCCAATAGAATCCTGAGCTAAGGAAGGATAAGTATGGTGAGGAACATTATTTTACATCTTAAGCTATACCAGTTGACTGATTGTTCGAGAACAGTAGGTTCAAATCTAAAGGGAATAACAAAACGGAAATAAGTGATACAAACACTAAGCTAAAAATCTCCTTAAAGACATTATCTCATTCTTCTCTGCAAAACCCAACTGCAAATACCATGATTAGCTTGCGACGGAATATTTATAACAGTTATTTAAAGCATCACTAATAGAAAACAACAACAAAAAATACGGATTGAATGTATTCGTTAAAATCCAAACAATCTTTTCGATTTGCAAATAACTACAACAGTTCATTTCAGTTATTGTTAGGAAAATTCCAACAACCATATCGAACCTACAATAATTTTTCCCGAAAAGATCAAAAGCAAAGCTTTTTAGTCCTCACATTTTAACGACAATCCTACATCAGTGAGATCCAGCAACATCTTGAAAAGATGGTATAAACTGTTCCGATTTGTCTTGAAATACTTATGCAATACCATGTTAAACGTAAAGACGTAAGGAAAGTGCTGTCGCGTCAGTTAACTATTGAACATGTAATATATAGTGGAATGAGTTCAAGAACGAAACGTATAAGATGCCAGAAGTGAACACTGAAATTATGCAAAAGCATGGTGTCTGCAAGTTTGACAGCAGGAAAAATTCACTTTTGGAAGAGTCGGTGAAGCGTTGATTTTCACAACGTAAGATTCTGGAAAAAGTCCATGTTGTCCTTTTGCATTGCGACCCTCTAGCCATCCCCCTTGGATACCCTGAAATAGTTCTTGAAAAAGATAAAAAAGAAGTGGATGAATGTAAAGAAATTTTTAAAAAGTATTAAAAATGGTTCCACGAAAAAAACACGTGAATCCGTAATAATCATACCTCTTTGATTAATTTTGTCTTCACAATACAGCTGTCCTCTCACATTTCCTCTAGGACTATATTTCTACTTTCCATCAACAAAAAAAAAAATATTAACTAGTTAAATTTGCAAGGAATCCGAACTGCCAACTTCATTCTACGAATTTTATAAACAGACCTCAAAAACTCCTTTTTTTTTGCAAGACAGAATACGAAAAGACATACTTCTCTGACAACCGTAAGGATTTCATTTACTGAAATAGACAACTCTCCAGAGTTTGGCTGCGCTTCGAATTCATAAACAGCTCGAACTTGAGTCATCCTTTTGTACTCTTTATTTTATACGATAAATCCCGCACCAGTCAAATACTTCTTCAAACATTAATGGATGATCTATATTTGCATTTTAAAACATTGCATCATTACCGAGCGAAAGTAAAGAACTGTAACAGAACAAGCAGCCAACAGTGACATAAATACCAATATTGATAACCAGTTTTTTCACCAACAATAACATATTTGGTAGAAACCACAGATACTACAGTAGATATCAAATGGACAATTGTGAAAATTTCCTCACGTAACGAAATTAATTCCAACCTAGACAAGGATACAAATTCCAAGTCAACTTTGTCAAACAAATTTAACCTTTAAATAAGGGATGCGCTATTGCACCACCCAGCAATTCATAAGAACTCCGTCGCAAAGCTATTTTCGGGTAATTCGACAAAAAGAAATATAAGTTCGATAAATTACAGGATGGAAGGAGTTCCTCCCTTGCTTTTGATAATGGCTCTTCGGTAGGATGTATCCAGCAAAACCTCCAAACTCCAAATAAGCATTCAAATTTGACATCATATTGGGCGATGGATTACATTTCCGCCCAGTAATTAGGTTGCTTTCATCATCTCTGCAAAGGCAGAAAGGAACGCGAAATTCTATTCGCACAGCGTGTTCACTTCAAACATGACAGCGGTGGACGTCTGGTGACCCCATGACCTTCCCGCTCCAGCCATGGTGGCAAGCAATTCCACAGCCCTCCATCGTTTCACAACGACTTCAGTTCTCAAATTGCATAACTCTGTTCAGATTTCTCCAATTATAAACAGTATGGCCGCGTTATGCAACACTCTTTCAAGTCCGGGGTTTTTCCGGGAGGGTTGGAATTCGAAAAAGTGTGGGGTTCCGCTGAAAAGTTTCCCTACTAAACTGATGGTGGCGTGATAGGATTTCCGACGAAATCATTAATGAATATGCTGGAAGAGGCTCATTGTGTCAACTATCCGACCGGTTCGTTTCATCTTACCGGAATGTTACTAGTTAATTACTATCAAAAATATATTTCGTATTGGGTATGGCTGCATGAGCTAATAACAGTGCTCTCTGCATTGGTATGGATTGCATGGCTCTCATACTCAGCGCTAACATCTCAAAGTAGGTGCGTTATCCCAATTAGAATGTTCTGAGGTAAGCGTAACACTATGTGACTGTAGAAACCGCAGATTTTTTGCATTTCATTTTACAGACGTTTTTGTTTATTCCTCATGGTGTGATGAGTCAATGCTCACATCAAAAAAGTGCGGCCAAAGCCTGACTCGTAGACTTGGTCCACCAGAGAAATTTCGCAAAGTGAAATAACGTGGTTGTTGCTAATCACGAAAATTTTAGAACTTCAAAGTTTGCATGACATAAAATGTCTTCTCTCCCATTAAATACTAATTCGTTTCCAAAGTGAATTGAATTTAACTACTTTTGTTAGAAAACTGGAGAGATTCTGATTTAATGAGAAGAAAGTTTAATTCAAACTGCGATCGATATGTGAAGATAGGTAGAGATACAGCGTTTGCATTGCGCTTCCCAATAGTTTGTAATTTAGCGGTACGATGTGCTGTGAGCGGAACTGGTTTGCTCTCGTGAGAGGCGGTGGTCGTGAGGTGGTATTGGTAAGGAAGTTCCGGTGGTGTCAAATCCACGGCTTCGGTTAATTAGTTAAAATTGTAGTTCAGGTTCCATTAAATTCTACTAAACTTGAACTCCAAATATATGGAACCTTGCAATTTTGCTTTATGGTTTCAGAATACTGCATAGTATAAAAAATTTTGATACTTTGTCCACTAATTTGTCCATAGTAACTTCATGGTTATCGATTCAAAATTATATCACTCATCAGGAGTGCCTTTTTCTTACTGTCATAGTTCTCATGACTTCTAATTGGTTGCATTTTCATGTCCATCAGTTTTCGGTTTCCCGAGTTGTGATGAGGGTCTAACTGATTAAACCTTGAAAGTAGGTGTGGTTGTATGGAAGTGCTATATGCTATTTATGTAATTAGTACTTATACATGGAAACTGAACAAACTTTTTCATTTCGAGTTAGAATGTTGGGACGGAGGAAGAAGAGAAAGATGAGAAATATAGGTTTACCTTATAATTTCTCGTTAGTTCGGATTAATTTCATGCTTTTCGATGAAGTGTTTATGGAATGGCAATGAACGAAATTCCAAAATCACTCGAGCCAATTGCCTCATTTGTTACAAATGTATTTATTTAGGAACTTTTGCTATCACCAGTATTATGTTCTGTCATTGTGCTATATAGACCTCTGAGTCTTCTGAAGTAGTGTGTTTCAGGTAACTAAAACAATTGTACTGATTTTCAGGTACTTGAAATGTCATTGGACAACGTAGGTGCCGTACGCGGTCCACAGTATCACAAACGCGATTTCGCGACATTTGGACATTGCAAAACAAAAGCCGATACAACCACTGATTTGGGTGAAGAATGCACTGATTTTTATAATATCAAAAAGCCCACGTCGGCGTCATCGGTTACACTGAAGCAGACCTCGACACCATCACCAAGTTATCCATCGGCGAATTCGTGGCCTGGGTTTGGAAGCCGTTATGCTCATATCGGCGAAGACATCCAAGTTCCTACTGTAGACTCTATCAAGTCACCATGTGGCGCCAAGTGCGAATTACCTTTTCGACAGCAAAAGGTAAGTCTTGAATTTCTCATTGAATAGTGCGGAGATATGGGAGGGCGAGATAGTTTGATGGCATATTGGAAGTAGTTCTTTGGTAACGAAATTTCCATTTGTTTATTGGTCTGGTAAATGCTTTTTACTTTTTTTTCGTTCGACTCGCTCGCACTACATTCGTAGAATCATATTCACTTCCACTTTTTTGAGCATCATAGACAATGTAATAGCATTGGAATGCAGGCATTGTTTTTTTTTTTTTTCAGCCGGGAAGGCGTGTATATGTATTTTCATCGAAGATGGCAAATGATGCAGCCATCGGCGTGCGCCAAAAAAAGTATGAATCGATTATTGCTTGGCATGAAGCGAACTGCCGGCCGAGCACTTCCAAGTGTGATTTCACGGACGATTGTCAGGCAGCGCCCATATTGAAAAAAAAACGACGTAGTGTGGTTAGTTTTCTTGCTGAATCTTTTTGTTTTGAAATAATGCGATATTTGACTACATGAGATGCTGATTATCTGAACTAGAGGTTTACACATATGGTGCTGAAAATTTTCAATAAAAGGCTAATCTTAACAGGAAACTAGAGACTAACTTTCGACCACGGGCTTAAAAACTTGGATTTTTTTGATAGTAGAAAGTACACGTTGAAATGAAGCAAAACACTGATTTTCGTTTTTCAGCTTTTAACCTCTCAATTTCAGCAAGACTATCGGAACGGATCACCGATGAGATCATGTGGTACACCTTCCGTATGCAGCCCATCAAGTACAATGCTTCCAACGCCTTCGCAGACAAGCGGAGAGTCGAGTGGTAATCCACCAAGTAATCCTTCTGAAACACCTTCTGGTGAATTGCTCAACCCTGATGATCATACTGATATTGGCGATAATCCGTTAAGGTGCTAACTAATAGTTCCTCAACTCATATTGCTATTAACTTTTTCCATTTTGTTGTAAATTTGAGTCGAGTACTTCTCCTTTTTCAATTAAACATGTTCGCATTTATAGAAGGATGGAACGTATGACACAGGATTCGCTTTTTGAGCCTCCCTCAAAATTATGTCGTACGTCTACTGACAACAGCCAACCTGCGAGAAGGTTGGTTTAACCATAATGTTGAACCGAAATGGTTTTTTCCATCTTACTTATGTTAGATTCCCTTACTGATTGACTAGGTGTGTTTTTTGATTTTTTATTGTAGGGGTTTAACTAGGTGATTTGCTTTTTGACCGCCAACTTGAAGGCTACTGGTATACAGTTATTATCATTCCAGTCATCTGATACGCTAAATGTCTAATGTTTATGGTTACACACATTTCAGAGAACAGGATCGTAATGCAAAGTTGGAAAAAATGCGGACACTTGAACAACAAATAATGTATGATAAAGCCAAAACAGAGTGGGATCGGATGATGCATGAGCATGAAGCAATCAAAATGACTCGTAGCCATATGCCTGCTCTGATCCCACCTTGTTCCTCTCAAGCATCAGTTCCGGCTCCTTATCCATGCACATTTGCTAATCAGAATGGAATTCTGATACAAGGGACATGTCGACGGCCCATGTATCCACAACCGCTACAATCAACAGAACCGCCATCATCAATGTCCAATATTTCCATGAACACTCCGATGATGGTCTCATTGCCGCAGACTTCTGGGCCGAACATGCCGATGTCCCAGCCCTTAAGGCCATCGCTAAATCCATCCGCCTGCAGCATGCAGTACTCACAGTGCGGTTTTATGTGTTGTTCTTATCCCCCTAGTAACTACCCTCCCCCCCAAGGTTATTCTCATATAAATGGTACCGCATCGTCATGCTTTCCTTCCAGCTTCGTCTCCAGCAATGGAAATGTGGCACCACAACCCAGAGAGTAAGTTGTAAATCCGTAGAAACGATACTGTTTTCGAAGCGCTGGATTTTAATATTTGGCCCAAATTTCTTGTGTATTAGACAAAGTCGTTTATATCGCAATTCTTTTTAGCTATGGTATGTACCAACAGGGAATTCGGACGGTATGCTCACCGGAGAAAATGGAGTGTGATATGTGGAATAGGCAGATACCGGCGGTCCCTGCTGACTTTAATAATACTTTTCCAGACCATAAAGTGCAGTACCACCCTGTAAGTAATATCCAGTCCTTTGCCATACATGACTACTCTTCGAGGTTGAAACATTTTCTGGTATTAATATCTGCAGTTTTCCACCAGCTGAACTCAGTAATCTTGTTGTAATGGCAGCCACAGAATAGCACTGATGCATGGCGAGATGTGTGTTCACACTATTCAAAAAGGGAGTACACTGTTTTAGTGAAGATTCATTTCAAGACACCGAAATATTAATGCATAAATCTCAGAATTTTAGCTGTTCCACCTTTATTTAATCCTTCATTATTGTGGTCTTCGATAATTCTGATACCTTCCCCGCAATTGCATTTCCGCTTGTCAGGAACTTCCGGAACATATGTCTCTTCTGGATTCCGCGCAACTAGGCCGTCTTCACTTTTATATTACAATATTGTTCTTTAAATTTGACTTGAAATTTCGTTTTGCTGCTTCCTTGCTGAAATTCTGTTCTTTTCAGAATGGTGCAGTGGTAGATGGCAAATTGTTGGATGTTGTTACCAGCACGAATCCAATGTTTGCTTAATTCGTTCGTTTTTCCTATGACTATTTTTCATGCTGCAATAAACACTTTTTTGTTTTTGTGATGCACCTTCTATTATGAATAAAATCTCTGGTAGTGCATTATTTACTATGTACTTAGAAATGATAGAAAAGCCAAAAGTTTTACAAAGTGTGACATGGAAACTGTGTATTTTATGCCTCTTACTGGCTATGTAGTCCTCTCTTCAACAGATTTAGCTGTCTAGGGTGATGTCCCTTTCTGTTTGTTTGCATATGAAGTCTCGATGACCTCTGAATGGTATAAAAAAAAAAGTGAACGACCGAAGTTTCATAAGTTGAGAATGAGACTGGATGGGTTGTAACAGGGGGAATCAAGCTGTCTCTTATTCGTTCCCGAGCCATTCATCAGAAAAGGTCGAGTGGCTGTGATCTGGTGAAACAATAATGATGTGGTGGTCTGGACTAACTAGCCGTCGTCCACTTTCTCTGCTAGGAAGGTAGACAAAGGGAAGGACGACATTTGTACTTTCATTATCCCACTCTTCAGTCAGTCAACAAAACAGAGGAACTTTGCATTTTCACAACGAAACAACAATTCTAAACGACTATGCGGTGAATGATGTTGCCATTGATTCAGTATTTTTGCTCGATGATGGAAAAAGAGAATGGGAGGGAGCATCGATGTGTCTGTGTTATGCTTTCGGTCTTGTCTATAAGCACCATCATGCTGCGTTTCCTCGAATCTAACAGATTTTCACACTTTCGCATCGTTCACTTCAGTTTTATGCTTTAATCTCTTTTACAGAGATGAAGCATTTCGCGTTGACCACATTAAACGTCACTTCTCCCATTCATTGTTTAGAAAGTAATTCTTTTAAATGTTTCATGTAGACATGCCAGGCTTAATTGTTCCCCCAGGATTACTTCGGTCATAGTAAATGCTATCATAGGTTATTCCTTCTTACTTATCACCACGTAATTATTATATTATCACGTACTTCATATTATTATTATGAGCAGGAAGTCTGATAAAAGTTGTACATATGGATTGACTCCAAAGTGTCACTGTAAAGCCATGGCAATTCAATGGCAGTTACCGGAAAAGGCTGAATTGTCAGGCAATTTTTGCCTATCACATGCTCCCTGCTCCTTTTCTCCCTCCCTCTATCTCTTATCTATTCCCTAAATTGAGGAAAAATCTGTTTAGTGGTTAAGAAATTTTAAGCACTCTTAAAAAAAAGATTAAAAGGGAAAGGGAACGTGATCTTCATTTCGTGGAAGGGAATTAATCATGAAAATATCCGGGAAATCTAAAAATATATGTAAAATCCGCGAATACATCCTTAAAAACAATCATAGAGTGCTTTTGCAGAAATTTAATGGGTGACGTAGGCGTATCACTGTCAGAAATAGTCGAAGTACGTGGATGTGGTCTAAATGATGATGAATTGCTTGCATTAATTATCATTGGCTGTGAAGTGCTTACTAAAACGACTGCAGGAGTATTCTCTCCCGAACATGTTATTTTACACACCGACGGTGAACTTGAGGTTTGTATTCATTGTTTCTTGGTTTTCAAGAAGTCCTTGGAAAGTGTTTGTGCTGCAGAAATTATTCCTGAACTGTTAAGATTTTCCAAAAAGTTCTCGAAATCCATCTTTTAGAGTTGATTCATAAGTAGATTGCAATAGAATGAAATATCTTGCAGTATTTGGATACTGTAGTCTACCTCACCTTATTTGCTAATTCTTGCAATTTTTTCCAGATAAAATCCGTTTCGAGGGATAAAGTAAGCAGGGAATATGTACCTCCTGAAATGCAACAAGGCAATACTGATGTTGACCCAGGTATTAGTGTTATATGTATACGTATATGTATATATACATGTGTATTATATATATATATATATATAATATGTTGCGTTTTTTCAGACCTTACTGGCAAAAAATCCTTTGTGCAGTGAATGGTTCTGATAAATATAGGCGTGAACCATCTTCAGATTTCGATGTTTTAGTATCAGTCCTTATCACTTCATAACCATGATGTCACTATTGATAAGCTTTTTTTTGCATGACCCTTTGTGAGAGATGTTTTCACTTCTATTTGCATCTACTGGAAAACTTGTGCGAAAGTCGTTTAAAATGCAGCTGAAAAGATCGGCATTTATAGTTTCATGAAATTTCCAGGCATATACATTTCGAAACAGCTGGACGTGGGTCGTTTTTTTTCTTTTTTTTTTTTAGGCGCTGTGCATGTATATTGTCTCGGGGAAGTTATCCGATTTGCTGGTGCTGCCGAATCAGGCAATGCAGATTTGTTTTCTTTGTTGAACGTAATGACTGTGGCTCATATTGCTACACGGCCATCCGTCACTCGGTTTGTTTGCTATTTCATTAATCCTTTTACTAACCCTTACTTTATGCTTACTTTTTGTGGTTATAATCTGACTCCAATGCTCATATTTTGATTGGAACTGGTCAGGATTGTTTGCAATTTTTTTATTAAGATAGTGTTAGCATATTTTAAGGAGAGTTACAGAACAGCTGAATGGATATATAACTGTTATTCCGTTTAAAAAATAATTGCATTTTCTTTTTCTCGAGCTGAAATTATTTCTCACTGGCAAGCAACAAATTTTCATTTCTTCGCTTTGTTCTTACTCTTTCTTGGAAATAGCAGAAAGTCGCTATGCTGGAAAACGTTACTGTACCGTGACCGTTCCGATTGTGCACAAGTGTAATCCCTACCATTTTTCTAGCCTTGGACAAATGGCTAAAAATAAGCTTACAATTCAAAATCCAAAGGCTTTGCTGGCAGAAATGTATGTTTTAGTTATGGGTGATGAAGCGGAGGATGTCGATGATGTAAGTGATGTTGACCTTTAGATTTCACTTTAAAATTTTGCTGGAGAAAAACTAAAGCACTACAAAAGTTTTTTAACCACAACCAATTGAATTAACCGATGAATTAAAGCAGTGATTTTTAATATCTGATATGAATCAAAATCCATACACAAGTCCTTCAAGTTATTCATGCACGCGAAAAGAGCGCAAGCATCGTTCACGTCAGTTTATTGTGTTGCTGTGATGAATTTATTTCAGTTAGACATTTCTTCTGGTGAATACATGCCAAATTCGCTTGGTGAAAATGGTGGTTTGAGAAGCTTGAAGTGGAACCAAGCTGGAACAAGCAGGGTATCGTAATCCTAGATGAAAATTATTTATAAATAGGGTCATGACCGCTTTTTAGGCTTTACAGAAAAATGGAAAATATGTCCTACATGGAAATCTTCCTGGTTTGTTGGGTGTTGATACCTTACATTCAAATAATGTTTTATTTTTATGAAAGCTGTATGTTTCCCTTCATTGGTTTGTTGGAGACACTTGAAGTACTGTAACGATGTTATTTTAGAGCGATACCTGTGATCGATCTAGAAAAGTGACACAAGCAGATCCATTTGATGGTGGAGAAGGCACCGATGTTTGGGAGTTATCAGGGGGCGATCCATTTAGTTCGGTAACGATCGCAGATGAACAAGTGTTGCAAGAAGCAAAAGATGTAAATATAAATTTTTTTTTTTATTCCATCCAATAAAGCGGGCAGTGAGGGACCGATTTATAAATCATTTGATGATTTCCTCCTTCGTCCAAGTTTGAATCATACATCACTTTTTTTGTCTATATCAAAGATTTTGACTCAAAAAAAGGGTATTCAGCAGATTGCCGTTGACTTTTTTTTCGAATTCTCCTAGGAAAATTTGTCCTATCTTAGAATAGTATCCTGCTGTTAGATATATAGTAGCTGTGGGAGACCAGACGAATAAAGAAATTGCTAGGGGAAATATTCTCCACCTATCCTCCACTTTTTTTTTCGGAATATAAAGCCATGTCTGCTTAACTGATAAGGCATGATTATGCTCCAAGAGGACCATTTTTAGTAAGAACGAGCACCTTTTTGGATGCAGTAAAATTTTATAATGTTACATCAGATTATTGGAAATGTGATATCTCTTTGCAGGAAAACAGTCTACTACAGGAAGAGAAACAACAAAAGTTGTCCGCAGGTAAAATTGGGGTGCTTTTGGAGCAAAATGAAGAGGAAGGAAAATCGGTAGTTGGAAACAATTTGCATAATTTGCCGACGCAATCTGTTTCTTACGATTTTGATGATGATATTGTGGAATATAGCGAAGAAAATATTCCTGCCGATGAATTGAACTCCATATCAACGGTTATCACTGCAGAACATATTGAGAAGGTTATATAATTATGGTCACATTAATTAGGATATCGATTATCATTTAACAAGAGATGGTTAGAGTGTCAGACCTTAATTTTTATGATGTAGTGTACATACTAGGATATCGGATGGTTTTTTATATGACTATGTGTAAGGTGATCTGACAGAAACTGTCACTGAGTGTGAATTTGTAAATTTGTGGATTCAAATGTGAATTTGTCTAGTCTCATAGCTTGAAGTTATATAAAAACTTTAAACCAGGTCATGTTGACATCGTTTTAAGAATTGGCGTTGAGTTTACGATTTAAGGTGAGCGAAATTTTGGATTATAATGGTCATAAGCTTCTTTCTACCAACATAATCCATGAATATAATGATTCTTTGTCTTCTTTGTCACCCATTTCGGAGGTCAGTGAGAAGTCAAAACTTTTTACCGCTTTAATTATTAAAGAACTTGACGAGAAACTCAGATTTAAAATATCACCAATTTCTCATTATTATATTCATTTATGAAGTGTACCATAATAAGACGAGATGGTTGACCATTCATTCATTGCTACTTTTTAGGTTGACGAAGGACAAAAAATGATTGCATCTACAATTCTGTCTTCAGATTGCCAAAAGGTAAATTCAGTATAGTTTTGCGGTTTTTTCGTCTGTCGCTTCTCTTTGTTTTAGGATCTTTATCTTCTCGACAGTTTTAATGCGGAACTGTAGAAGCGAACCAATCCGTTATCACTACCATTTTGTATCTTTAACTCTTCTGTTATGCATGAAATCATTTTAATATCTGTTGTAGATTGCTGATAAACAAGGTTCACTGGAAGAATCTAACTGTGATTCACCGTCCAGTAATAAAAATGAGGATGTACCAGAGCTTGTCTTGTCAAAAGAAGTGAGCTGTTTTTGTGAAATGTTCTAAGAAAAAAACTTTTTGACAAACACGTCTGCACTCACTCCATTATAGGAAAATGGGAAAGAACCGCCATCACGAGTTTTGGAAGCTAGGGTAAAAGGAATCGTAGGTACAAGAAAAGCTTCTGGTATCTCAGTTGCTTCTGGTTAGTTAATTATTCTTAATGTTCATTTTAATTTATTTTTTTTTCTGCAATTAAGTGATAGCGTTTTTACAATGCTTTGACTTTTCCTGTTCTTCGAGGGATACTGGTGCTGTTATTGCGATATGCACTCAGATTTTATTCTGAAGTTGAGGAATGTTCATGGGAAAACTTTTTTACAGTAATTTATTAAAGCTTCAAACATTACGTTTTGGTCGATGTCCAAAGTTGACCCTTATATTTCTGAATTGTTTCTAGAGCAGCAGTTCATGAGGCGAAATTCGCTTTTGCCAAATAGGATAAGTGGGCGAAAATCCTCATCGAAACATTTCAAACGAAGGGTAAGGACACACTATATTCTTGATTTGGTATATTACGGTAACCAAGGGACGGCGTCTTTTGATATATATGGTTTCTTGCCAGTGGCAGTTTATTTAGTGCAGGATATCAAAAGATTAGTTTGTCAGCTGGCGTCTTATATCATTTTTAGAATTTATGCATGGTCCTGTTGGATGTTTTTCGCCAGTGTTTTTTGATTGGAGACATTTTTTAAGGCACTAGTTCGAGTTTTCGCAAAACATTATGTTTTTATGCCTTTAATTTCAGTTGAAAGCAGAACCAGAATTTGTAAAAAATGCGAACGCGTCATCTATATGTTTGAAGGCACCCGCTCAAAGAAAAGTCATTGTTGTTTTATGCAGACATAGGCTTATACAGTTCCAATTTTTTAGTAATTATTGCTATATTGGATATCCTACTCACTGTGTGGATTTAGGAAAACTTTCTGTCCTTCTGCTGCATTCATTATAACGTAATGGAATTGGGAATTAGGCATGCAAAAACTTTTCCATTTTTTATTATTTGTGAGAGGAACAGATTATTTTGCTGTATGAATCATAGGTGTTCATTTTATGTTTATTGGAAAAGTGACTGACTACTAATATGCCTGGTGACTACTAATACAGACTACTAACATATCTGAGAATTTATTGTTATCTTCGGAATCGAGAATATGATATTATCATGGAGCAGAAATATTGTAATTCAAATGTAATATTTATTTTACCGACCACTTCAAGAATAAAATTCTGCATACCAAATTTCTGTTAGCTCTGTAGATGGCGAGCATTTCTTTTTTGGTGTTCGATCTGTTCGATGTTTTCTTTTTACAGAAAAAGGTGACACTACACAGAATAGAACATACGGACGTAACCGTTGAGCTGCTTAGTGGAAAGCATGTTGAAGTGAGCTGTCGTTCGGATGCTGTTGCATCAGAAATTGCTGATGTTGTCATGAGGCACATGAATTTCAGTGAGAACTCGTTCTTTGGTTTAACTGTACTGAGGGGTATGTTTAACTCATTTTGTGTTTATTAATTACCACTTAGCAGTTTTATCACTTAGGTATCTGGTGGCTACTTCAAATGACTTTATAACAGCGTTCGATTATGTAAAATCGGATGGTAACATTTGTGAACCTCCTTTATTGTAGTCAAATATGCTTTTTTGAACTTCGTTATTAAAGCGTTCTAAAAGACTATCAATATATCTGAGAATTTATTATCTTCAGAATTGCCTAGAATACGATATTATCATGAAACAGAAATATTGTAATCCACATGTAATATTTATTTTACCGACCACTTCAATAATAAAATTCTGCATGCCAAATTTCTGTTAGCTCTGTAGATGGCGAACATTTCTTTTTGGATGGTCATCAACGTCTGGAAAAATTTGCACCACCCGGTTGGAAAAATGCAAGGCAATATGGATCATCCAAAAGGCTTTACATGTTATTTCTACGCTTTCGATATTATCCAGCATCAGTCGCCTTTATACGGTTTGTTAAACAGTATAGGAAGTCATTTCATTTTAAGGTGTAAAGTAAAAGAAGGAATTCCTCCCGTCATTGTGGATGTGTTTCTCGATCTTTTCTGTTTCTGTGCTCTCTCATTCTTTCTCTTTTTTGGAGATTTCTCTGTTATTAATGATAGTGTTTTCCTTTTTATAATTGCTGCTTCATTTTCGCAAGGTGTGTGTTGTACAAGAATTTGAAATGAGCCTTCCCATATCATTATATTCTTCCAATAAACCGATATTGCGAAAGGCCGGTATTTCCTGCACAACATAAGTGGGCAATTTCAGAACTGAAGTTGTGCTTCATGAGTTATACTTACAACTGCGGCGGGACATTTTGGATGATCGCATTCAACCAAAACGTGGTTTATTATATGATTTAGCTGCATTTGCTTTGCAAAGCGAATACTCTGATCAACCGAATGTAACAATTTTGGACTACTTTGATGTGCAACATTATATACCGAAGGTCATATTTTAATTCTTTTGGAACTTAATATTTTACTGTTGACTCCTTATTATAGTTTTTATTCATTCATTTTTGGCATCCATATTTCGTTTTTTTTTTTGGAGTCCCCATTGAGGATTTAGTAAGTCTCTCATCCCCAATTTTTTAAACCTTTAATTGTCGAAGTATTTGTTGATAGTTTTACTTGGTTTTTAATCTGCTTTTACAAACAAGTGTAAACCGCTTAATAAATTATTTTGCAATTCCACGACGAAAAATGAATGTATTGTTGAGAGGAAAGGTGAGGTTTAATGATCAGGAAGATGCACTTTGTTCAATGACTGATGACCTATAGATCACTTCAGATTGGCATGTGTTCATACACCAGCTATTTTGTTATGGTATTTCACTTTAGAGGTGTTTGGATAACTGCAGCGAAAAAACAGTAATCAGGGATGTAATGGAGAGGCACGGAAGATACCGCGGAATGAAGCATCAGGACGCTGAGAAGCGTTTTATTTTGGTGAGTTTTGTGTGTTTATTTCCTGGAGGATTGTATGATTTCGAAATGTACTACAAGGGTTGAATCAGTATTTCTGTGGTATTTCTCGGCACTTCACAGCTGTCTACTATTGCATGATAAGGAATGAGACAGTTGGATTTCGTTCAGTTCATATTTTTCATGTTTCAACATTAGTTGTAGACATTCAATTCCCACAACTAATGTTAAAACATGAAACATTACACGCAGAAATTTTTCTCACCTGTAGTATCTGGCAGAAAGCCACTACTGAAAAACTGGAATCTATTTTAAATTAATATTGATAGCATAAGTAATCTTTTTCCCTAAAAATTTATGGGTTCATCCAGCGCGATGAGACACTTGAATGTTATTGGCTAAACTCACATCGGGTATTCGTGCTGAGCAATAAATTTCTGTCGCTCTGTTTTCCAGCTCTGTCAACGGTTACCTGATTATGGTGCTCATTTACATCGCGTTTTCGCATCTAAACCATCGATAAATCTCGGTAATACTCCCCTTGGTGACCCTGAAACTGGCGTGGCACAGTGGATTGCAATTATGACACGTGGTATTGTACTTTTCGAAGAAGAAAGGTCTTCATTGATTTTTTGAAGTAATTGAAGCATTCGGAATGTTTCTCCTTGTATTATTTCAAATTCTATATATTATTTTTAGTGGTGGTCGGCATGCCCAAATAGAACACCTTTGGCAAAATACGCAAACTTTACAGTTTGATAAGAAGCGCTTCGTGATTGCTTCCGAAATCCATGAGCCATCCACCAATGTCTTCTATACCGACCATTATACTAAGTATGCGTGGAAAGTTTGTTTTGTATAGCATGCACTCGTGTTTCGTTCAGTTGTGAAAAATGTTTTGCTTTGTATTATCATTACTGTTTTCTTAACTCTGTGTATTGTATGTCCATGTGATTCAGCAGCTTTTTTCCAGAAGTGCCTATTTTGTTCGTTTTGCGGCTTCGCAGCATCGTTTTATGATAAAAATGCGACAGTGGAATCATACTTTAAGACGTGATAGCCCTTTCCAGTTCCGTAGAATGCCGGATGTTGGCGCGGATACAAATTTTATGGAAGAGGTTTCTGACTGTATTAATCTTCCTCCTAAATTATTCAGCATGCTCAGAACATCTTTAGTATCCTAAATGCATGTTGTAGCATATATGAAAGAGCCTTAAAATGGTTCATACGAGCTCATAATTAACTGTCAGTCAGACTTGATAAGCATATGAATTATCGGTTGCTGAATATTAGCTCACTTTAAAGTACTTTGTTTTCATATTTTATCATGCTGTCGTACCTGTGCTAGGAGTTTCCTTTTATATATTAATTTAAAGCTAACATAATGTGAGCATTGTACTGTAACAAAAGCAGTTGAGTCCGTTATATTACCGTTAATTGCCTAATGTGTTTTTAAACACATTATAGGGATCATTAAATTCTTTATTACGTAGCTATTTTGAAAATGGTAATTCTTAATCTTATTGTAGGTACCGTCGGTGCATTATATGAATACTCCTGATATACCAAACATGCCGGAACCCGTTTTTACTGGAAGCAGTAATCAATATACCTCAGGCGATAGCCCATCACAGAATTATACGAAGGCTGTGCATGATTCCAGTTTCGAACCGAAAGCCAGTTTAATAAGTGATGTGTTTGAGTGTTAAACATGCCGTTACAATTATTTTTTATTGGAGGCGAGATCAAATGATGAGGCTGTTATGTTAATCACCGATTACTTTAGGTTTTAAATTTTTATGACTTCAGAATTTTTATTTAAATGAAATAATGTTCATATAGATGATCGAGTTTTGGAAGAGATTTCTCTTGAAGAATTCGTTGAGAATGGTGATGGATATACCTTAGAAATTTTGTTGGAAAAGGATCCAAATAGTGGCCTCGGTTTAACGTTGGTTGATGGTAATCTAAATGGTATAAAAGGTGTATATGTGAAATCTGTATCCGAAGGAGGCGTCGGAAAAAAAGGAGTTAGTTGGAAGTTGTTCTAAAATTTTTGTGTGATAGCTATTTTATTCGAAAATAAGTGTGTTCTTACATCTGATTTTTATTTAGTTTTAAAAATGATTTTAAAAATCCAGGGAGTGAATGTTGGTGATCGACTACTAAGTGTCAATGATGTGTCACTTATTGGTAAGGACAGGCATGTAACTGTCGATCTAGTGAAAAAGTGTGGCAATTATGTCCATTTGAAGGTTTTTAGGTTAAGTTTTTTTTTTTTTTTTGTTAATCGTAAAGTTTACGTTGTGGTGCGGGACAGTATGAGGTAGTATATCGTTTGTTTTGGCCCTTCATTTGGACGATGTACTTGTCTGATTGCAGAAACAGTAGTTGTTCTCTGTTATTTTCTGAGCGACAAGATTAATTGATTGATAGATGAACTCCGTCATTTTCTATTCTTTGCATTGTTTTCGAAGTTACAGATAACGAATAAATACAAGTATTTATTTGCCAACGTGATACCTTCATGCTAACGGCAGCAGTGAATTCACAAAATATCCCTTTACTGAAAAAATTACTTATCTTTTTCCTCTATTGAATAAAAATCCTGATTCCGACAAAATATTTTTTGCTCTTTCCATTCTTCTAGAACCCATTGATATTTTCTTGACTAAATTGTGCTTACTGACAAAGATCTTTGCATTCCATGATGATTGATTCTCTTTGCCAACCAATTTAGTACCGCAAAGCTTTCGTTAGACAAAACATTTGATATGAAGAAGTGCTCTAGAACTTGTTATAACTTCCAGGGCTTTCCAAGACAGAATTATCTCATAGATTTTGTACTAAGGTTCAATATTTTAAGGTTAGAAGCGATAACATCCGCACTTGCTTCTGGCATTATTAAAGACAAAACAGTGACTGATGATCAGAAAGGGTATAAAAATCATTCATTCTCTGTTAGTAAAGGTTAGTCTTTTTCAGTGATTAAGCTAGGATTTGGAAATAAATATTTTTGATGTCATAAACCATGTTGCATGATTTGTAGGACTGAGATCAAGAACGCCACCACCACCAAGAAAATATTCAAATATCCTGAAAAAACGCACAAGAGCTGTTAGTGATTTTGGCGCTGTTGGTGATACTTTACCCGATTTAAATAGCGAGGATTTATTATCTAATCTTAGAAGTGAATCGAAATTGGGGTAAGTAACTCTCATGTCTTTCATTGTTATTAGAAAAAGTGATGCTTAAGTAAGAGATCGATTAGGTGACTTTGTTCTCGAAACAAAAAAGACAATTTTCAAAGATTGTAACTATGATGGAATATTTTTGATCCTATGGGTCGTATTTGTTTGTTTATTGATTTGTTCCACTTTTTTAATAGTAATTACTGTTTGAGAATGTTTGAGAACTGCTTTTTGCTGTAGATGTCGAAGTAAAAAATTTGTATTCTCAAACATACTTATCTGGTTTGATTTTAACAGTCTGCAGAATACAGTTAACTTCTGCATTGTAACTGCTTCTTTCATTTTATAGTAACAGGAAATTTTAAAAAATATACTGCAAACTGTTTATGATGATATAGCTGCAGTATTCTAGATATTTCTAAATGCAACTACTTGACATCTTTCAAAAATGTAGACCTATTTCTGTATCATTTCGTTGTTTAGGTGTACATTAGTTTGTTTTCGTTGCTAATGACTGTTATTATTTTCAGATATTTACGGCCGGAAACTTCGTTGAATGACGAGATCGAGTGTGGAATGAGATACGACGTGCCGGTAGTATCTATGTACAAGTTCGAAGATGTTGATGATGAATTAATCGACCAATCTCCAAAACGATCTAGTACAGCAACATATTTTCCATTTAAGACAAATGAAAATGATTGGTTGAAAATGGGAAAGAGTGATGTTGACCAACAAAAGAGCCCGTTCAACGACTGGAAATCGGTGCAGAATTATAGGTATATGTACTGGTCTTCTGCATTTTACAGGAAATTATAGAAAGTAATTTTATATAGCTCCATTCTTGTAGAAAGAAACCAAATCTTGATTGGACTGACGACCTGGATGACATCGCGGAACCGTTGCCTTCCGATGTTTCGATGGTTATCCTCGAGCGTAATGGATCTGGTAGTCTCGGTTTTCAAATTGCATCTAGCGGAGGTATTGTGTATGTAAAACAAATCACTGCAGAACCAGCACTTTCATGTCCTGATATTCAAGTGGGAGACAAAATTATATCGGTTTGTTTTAAATTCACCAACGCTAACTCTAGTTTTACCTTTTGTATTGTGTTTCTTTTCAGACGTTTAAAATTTCGTTTACGACTTCTAAACGTAAAGAGGTAAGTTGGGGTATATTGCAATGATCAGAAATAGTAAATTGTTGGTCATTTTTATTGTATAGTGTGTAGGTCTTGAAATATTTTTGCAGGTCAATCACGCGAAGGTGCAAAACCTAACGCATCAACAATTGGTGGACTTATTAAGAAAGGGTGGTGACAGAGTGGTAATAGGCTTACAAAACTCGGGCAAAGAAATATGTACTCGTGATGAAGGCGAACAGATTGTACGAGTTATTTTGGAGAAGTCTCATACGGGTTCGCTTGGTCTTAGTTTAGCAAAGAAAACTGGTTTTGATGGTATGTTACCAGTGTTGACACTCATTATTCATAATTTTTGATTTATTTATGTGTCATCATTGTAGATGCGGATTTCCTGTGTTTTCATTCTTGAACAAAGAAGGTTCCTTACATGTTCAATTTTATAAGTACTCTTTTTATGAAGGATTTATTCCTGTGTAGACATGGATCTATTTTTAAATTTTTTCCACTTTTAAATAAAACTTATGCTACTTAGTCGATCTAGTTTTACTCGAGAACTATTAATAACGTCCAGTCACTCATTATAGCGAAATTCTTGAGATATAACAACCCCATGCTGAGTCGTGCTGTTCTTCGAAGGAGATTCACGATTTCTATAACTGAATCACATTTGGCTGTGTTCCATTGGCTAGTTGGTACCATTCTAATTTCTAACGTGAAATATTTTAGGAATTTACATCCGAATGATCAGCAGTGGTAGTGCTGCGGATATAGATGGGACATTGCATGTCGGTGATAAAATTTGGAAAGTCAATGGACAATCAGTAAGTAGTTGTACACCAGGCGCCATTGTTGATTTACTGAAAGCTGCAAGTAATCCCGTGGAAATTGTTGTGAAACGAACCGTTGTTAAGTAACTAGTTTGTAATCTTAAATAAATTTGCTTCGTATCAGTGCATTATCATTAGTTTTCATAGACTTTAGTCCTCTATCAGTTATAATGCTGTTCCAAGTCAGGTTTTTCAGTGATGGCAATTATCCTGTTTATTTGTTCTGTTTTACTCAGCTCATTTCACTTTAATCCTTTGATGCCACTGTAAAGCTCTCTTGATATTGTAGACACGACATGTTACCTTACCGATGCTCTCACTGTATATGGGAAAACTTTCATATGTTATGCATTCCTCTTTTTTTGTTTGTGCTGCATCATGGAATTTATAATATTTGCACACCATGCGCAAATTTTTTTTCTTTTTTTTATTCTTATTTTTTTATATATTTAGAATTTTTCGGTACTTCCCAGCCGTTATCTATTTGAAATGCAATGCACTTGGAGATAGTGGAGGAAAAAAAGTGGGCTTCTTATCTGTTTATTGGATTTATATGTCTTTAAATTCTTGATGAACAATTTGAATGGATAATGTTATTACTGTGTTATCTGCGTTTCTCATTTAAATTTTCTGTTAGGCTATCCAGAACGACACTTTTAATTTTTCAATTGTTGAACAGCATATTTCTTCACCGGTAATTATTCCCTTCCTTAATTTATCCAGTCAAAGATTTGCTCAATCAAGGCACTTTTGCAAGTACAAGCAATATTTGTGCTTCATTATTCTTATGCCCCGCTTTTATTAGCAAACTGTTCTGTGATTGCATGTCAAAGTGTACTTGCATGGCAGTGCAGGTCTTATTCTGCATGCAATTCGCTAATGCATTTGTAGCGTCCCTATGTACAAAAAATTGTGAAGCATATCTGAAAGGCGAAGTTATTCTTGTAGTTTGTCTTCTGATTATTGAATACCCACTGCATGAGACTGGGCTAATGCTGAAATTAGTAAGCAGTTTGAATAACCGTTCTTTTTAATCAAAGTATGGTGAACTCTTATGTCCTACGAACACCTACTTTTTTTTTTTT